TAGGAAGGCTGAACAAAGAGGCCCTGCAATCTGGGTGAAAATAACAGCGTTTTGATGGCATGTCAACAACACTGTACTACAACAACTCGTTCTCTTCTCTAAAGTAGCCCAACATGGCCCCACCCCCTTTGTTGTGTATTCTCAGGGACAAGGTTTATGTAAATTTCAGGGTTTGTGATGTCACTAACCCAGGAAGTAGCTCATTGTAGTCCCTACCAGTCCCTACGTTTGTTGTAGGCCTTAAAAAGCAAATTCTGTAAAAGACAACTTCTCCCTTTGCATTGAACTTTGAGTTGTAATTTTGCAGATGTTGTTTATGCTCAAACAGCCACATTACACACTAACTAAAGTTAAAAAGATGAAATCGTAATTTAGTGCCCTTTAAAACCCAAGGTTAAGAGTGCAATGCAGGTTTAATACTGCAAGAGCGCTGCTAACCCAGGGTTTCATAACCCATGTACCCATGGTTAAAAGTAGGATGACCATACAGGCCATTTTTACGGGACGCACCCTTGCAGGTTTTGGCTGTTAGGACTGTGCAGATCGATCGTTGTATGGCATTATTTCACGAGAGCTATAGAGAGCAGAGCAGACGGCTCCTTATGCTTTTAAATCGCTCTCGCTGTACTTTGGTGTCATACAACGATCGGTGCGCAGCTTCAGGTCGAACGAACGAACAAACACGTGCGCGTATTTGCATCGTTTTGATCGTTCTCACTTTCTCACGTGCAACGCGCCACGATTGGTCAAGTATGTACAATACCTGCATGTTATTGGTCAAACTACTTTGGATGTTTTAGGCAATATAAAAATCATGGCAAGGATGTGTCCCGTATAAATGGCACATATGGCCACCCTAGTTAAAAGCCAAATTTAGAAAGACGACAAACCAGGGTTTAGCGCAGTGTGAAAAGCCCTCATATGACCATTGAACTATATTTCAGTTTTGAATATGTAAGTGCACAAATAACACAATGGGTCAGTTCTCAGAAAGCTACTGTATGGCTTTAGAGTACTCGTAATGTTAAATTTGTTTATCAGATCACTTGATTATTATCAGATTGCTGCAACTCTCTATATTTATATACACATCTGCATTTCTCATTCACCATTGGCTTTACAGCAACCTGAATCTATTTGTGTCAGCTGTATAACTCAGTGATGTGTGTTTTTCTGATGTTTTTTTCTTCTTCTTCCAAATGGATTTGTATTGATTTGAACTTTGCCATTATCATCAACATTTGTTTATGTTTGTCTGCATGCAGTGATATACATGACTCTTAAGACATTTAACCACTGCATGTCACATGGCACTTGACTCGCAATCCATATAAATGTAGGACGAGTCAGCAAGGGGTTGTGATGTCAATGGTTCTCAATATAAAGGAGCTTCTGTTCTAGGAACTGGTATTCCATCACAATTGTCTTTGTCAAAAATCTATTTCCTACTGCTTGTTCAAGCACTAAATATAAAAATCTGCAGGGATAAGGGGATTGTGGTAACCTACTACAAAATGTACAAGTTCATTCTCAGAAAGACCTTTTTTTTTTTAATTTTCACAATGATTTTCAAAATACCTGCAAAAAATCAATACAGAAAATTCCTTCATATTAATACATTGCACCATATTTTTAATGCCAAATCATCAATTGCATTCTATTTTTTTTATTTGACAAACTTTAATTTGATTTGTAAAATATCAAGATGTCCAACAAATAAAAAAATGTGAAATCACTGCGCTGAACCAAAACTTAGGGTGCGTAGATCAGTAAAAACCATAATGACTTAAAATTTTAAAAGCAGGATCTGCTCTCACTTGTATACTTAATGATTTTTGGATTTTTTTATTATATAAAAAAATCACAAATGGATCAATCCATTTGTGCTTTTTGTAAAATAAAATAAAAAAATAAAAAAATCATTAGGTATGCAAGTGAGTGATAATCCTGCTTTTTACATTTTAAGTCATTATGATTTTTACTTATCTACGCATTTGAAATTTAAAGCTCATTTGAAATTTAAGATGAAAATCAAATGAAAAAGTTTATTCCCTCATATTTTGTGCACTTTTCAACAGTGAAATGGTTAAGCCTGGTTTTTGTTTTGATTTTTGTTATTGTTTTATAATTTATTTGAAGTTGAAGTTTCTAAAGCTATGCATATCTGAATATTTTTATGTGTTATGCTGTCAATACATCCGTATGTTTACGTTTTAGCTTATATCCAAACAGCTTTGCTGATTCAGACAAGCAACATGATTGTGAGTGTGATATTGCTTTTACACAATAGCTCAATAAAGAAGTTAAAATTGATTTGGCAACAGTTGCTTTGTCTGTTTTGTCCCACCAATGAAAATAGTTCAAAACAAAGTTAATGGGTGAATCAATGCGTTTGAACGAATCAGTTCTGAATGATTTAGTGACTCATAAAGATAGTCTTTTGTCGTCACCTACTGGCATAACGATCTATAGGATTTTTTGGAACTATAGAAAACCTTTGAAGTATTAGGTATTTAGAGATCAATAAATTGTACTTTACCATCATTTAATTCAGGAGAAAACTTGGACTTTTTTTTAAACCTTTAATGTTACAGTGATTAAGTGACATCTGAGGGAGTTGTGGTGTCCTAATGGTTAAATGCCTGAATTGGCACTCCAAACAGGTAGTAGGTTTATTTCTGGACATGGGCACAAATATGGCTTGCGTCAACATTTTCACAGCTTTCAGCTGTTCAACACATCTTGCTGACAGCTTTTCCATTCACACCTTACAGATGGGCTCCTAACTGTGCATCCCAGAAAGTGGACAGAAATTTTTAACAAGAAGACTAACTGTGGTGAAACAGAAGAGAAATGAACCAGAACCTATGTGTGGACATTTTAAGCACATAAGCAGCCAGGATAAATGAAGTGAGAAAAATGTATTGAGCCAGAGCTGGACTAAGTTAGCATCTCTGGAATTGCTCCATATCGTCATTAGACCTTTAATTCAATCTTTAGGGGAGGTTTGTATTAATTTTGTCTTTCATAACACAGTTCTTTGTGCAGTTAATTGGAGTATGGTATCACTACACATGAGTGTTTGTCTCTTTCTGTATTTTGGTTTGGCCTTTAATGATAGTTCTCTTAGGTATTACTATATAGTAGCCTAATGTAGTCAATATGGCTTACGCCTCCTGGGTACACATTTCCTGCTTCAATTTCGATTAGCACAAGCTTTCGATTAGATTTGGATTTGGTAATGTTTATTCAGTAACTTCTCTGGTAGATTTAGTGAGTTTATTCAGTGAAGGGCTCGCCTGATTAATTCCAAATATCTGAATCTTTTCGAACAATTCACTCACAAGGACCAACTCAAGAGAGTCATTTGTCCATGTTTACATTACACTGGTGGTGTTGTATGTTTTTGATTCACTAAAAAGATTCTGTTCATAAGAGTCACTTGTTCATGAATCGGACTTCACTGGCGGCGCTGTATGTTTTTCATTCACTAAAAAGATTCTGTTCATAAGAGTCACTTGTTCATGAATCGGACTTCACTGGCGGCGCTGTATGTTTTTCATTCACTAAAAAGATTCTGTTCATAAGAGTCACTTGTTCATGAATCGGACTTCACTGGCGGCGCTGTATGTTTTTGATTCACTAAAAAGGAGTGGTTTATATCAGTCACTTATTTGTGAATCAGACTGGCCACAATGTTATTGTGTGCAACTTGTGACAACTCAATAAAAATGTGTTTTCTTGCCATTATTTCATAGTCATCATTCTTAAATAATCACTTTCATGTCATTTATGACACTTTTGCTGTATTTGACTTTGCTTACTTGTTTACTAATTTACAATTCCCTCGCCACATAGTGGATTATATAGAGAATACATTGAAAAAAAAAAAACAATTTAGAAACAATTTTCACTTAGAAATTGCTAGTAAATTTCACAATTAATTCTTAAGAAATGGGAAGTAACACACTGAATTAACCTGAAATTTTGAAGTAGAAAGACTGAAATTGTATCGTCTTGTAAAACATACTCCAATAATCTTTGTTTTCAAGTTAATCTTTTTAAAATACTTATTTACTTTTTTTAAAGTGTGGGAAGCATTGTTTGTAGCACACCTCAACAAAACTATTATAAGCATTCAATGTCATGTTGTATTATGATACGCTACACTGCTACTCTTGCAACATTATTTTTGGCTGCCTGACTGAAATAAAATTTGATCATTTTCACACGTTAAATTTTTCTTTACATCAAATCCATCTCATGATGTTTCTGATCTCTTAATGTCCTTCCTGCCTGATCTGTCAGGACTAATATAAAAGGATTCTGTAGACACTTGTATTTGTTGTAACTGTTCAACTGGTTCTCAGTGAAAATCATTACCTTAATTTGAGGTAATTTTAGTTACCCTGGCTAAAATTATAGTTACACACCTGACACCTGAAGATCTTAAGGAACATTTATGCATAACTCAAGTCTTGTCCTTTAGTCAAGGGCAAGGCAAACTTCCAAAAGGCGTACAGGTTAGTCATGAATCTGCTTCTTAAAACTTTTCCAATTTGGCATCCCAGCAGCTGCCATTAAGAATCTGATCTTATGAGCAACCTGGGGTACCTGTAATGTAATGCTGGTCCCCTGCCAGCGTTGTGTTTATACTGTAACAGTAAAGGTAAATCCTAAATTGCCACTCTAGAAGCTCTTAAGCTGGTCTTGGGCAAACCACTTAGCAGTTACCATGGGGACTAAAAGTAATAGGATTGTTGTTCTGTTTAAAACATGGATACCACATAATTATGGTAATTATGTTGAGCATGAGATAGCAGAATGCTTCTTTACTAAATCACTGGGAACAACGAACAAACATCTAAAGAGCAAATACTGTACACTTGGATGGTTAAGTGACGTGTCCCTGTTCTGAATACAAATTGCAGGTTTATCAATACACTACTCAACCAGCTTGTGTTAACACACACAATATAATTCCTTGTGTATCAACACACTCCTCCCTGACAATAAAATCTGATAACAATAATAAACACAAAGTCTAATTTATATGTCAAACTTTGTATCTGTGAAGGCCACTGAACAGAGTATAAATGCATAATGCTTTATATTATACCCTTTAATGTTCAAGTATCTATCTATCTATCTATCTATCTATTCAGTATTGTCACGAATCCGGTCCATGAACTTCCGTCTGCTAGCCATCAGAGGTCACCCTTTCCATTTTCATTGACTCTCGCACTACACACTGTTGCATATCACCCCGGACTACATATCCAATCATTCATTGCACTGATTGCACACAGCACTGATTGCACACAGCGACCTCCTCTCATGTTAATAAAGCTTGCATATGGATCCGCACGTCTCACGTCTTGTCAGCCCCGTTACAAGTATAGGTAGGCCTAAAGATGATTGAATTAATGTAATTTATAGGCAAATGTTAATTCAGATAAATTCGATTTATTACATTTGTTTAATTCATAAAAATTTAAATAAGAAAAAAATCATTGGTTTTAATGTCTATATCCAAATATACAAAAATTTACATGTACATGTACACTTCATCACTTCATATAGAAAATATCCATGATTATTTTTTAAATCACACTGTATACAATTGTATACCTTTTTTATAGTAAGAAATAATTTATCTGCAGAATTTGCTGATGACTTAGCAATTTTTTTTGTTATACTGTTCAACATATTTAAATGTTTAATTGTAAGAATGATAACATATTACTTTTTAAAATCAAGATCAGAACTGAATTTCTAATTTACATTTACAAGTGTTCTTTACACTTATATAATTGCAGCTCTTTCACCTGCTCACACATGCTGTTAAAGCAATCTCTTCTCTAACCTGAGCATCATCTACCTGCACACCCACAATGCTCTTGTCACTTCAATTTGGACGTCAAGCCAGCAGAGTGAACATGAAGTGTATGAATAACATTTAAACATCTGAGTTCACATTTAAAGATCATCAAGAAAGCTCCACTTGAACCAAGTGGGACATAAAATAGTGTGAAGCTTTCAGTTGTCAGAAATCTTGATGATTCGTGTGAACAAACTGCTGTAACCATATGGAAAAATCTTTGAGTCTATATCAGAGTATGAAAATAGCACTGTTTCCTGCTGTCAATTAAAAGAAGTTCTCTTCTTCTTTTTGTGCAGAAATCCTTTCCACATGCGACATTGTCTCAAGAACAGACACCATTCTGAATCCAGAGTGTACTGTTTCCTATTTTTCTCAAAAACTAGTTATATTTGGGACTGCAACCAAAAATCCTTATAATATTTAACATCTCTGGCACTTGTGGGCAAAATCTCTAAGGAGAGAAATATCCATTTTAGTGGTTCCAGAAGCTGGTGGTAAACCACAACTTCAGATTCCCCCAAGAAACCCTGTTTGTGATATGTTAAATTGAATGTACCGCCCTCTCCGGGTCCTTTTGTTCTCCTGTCGCGCAGTCCTCATACCATGCATTTTAACTGCTTGACAGGATGCTTTCAGTAGTGCAATATTGTAAACACATCTCAATATCTGGAGGCCTTTCTGATCGTTTCCAAGATAGCAGAGGCTTTGCTGTGTTTTCCTGATCAGGTTGGTGAGTGGTTCACATCAAATCCAGTGTGCAAGATACTTGAAGAAGCTCCAATAATATCAACTGAGTAACTTCATTGCACGTCGCTGACTGCTCAGTCGTGGCATCTAGCTTTCTGATATTTCCTAATATCAGCTGTCAGGCAACATGGTGTAACAGTACATTTATATACGGTAAGCTATATTTAACATATTTCCACTCAACGTGTACAAAAAAAAATAAAATGCTAGGGAAAACAATTCTACAGTCTCTGCAACATTTGAGTCTCAAATGCATATAAAATATGATTTGCTCAACCCAGATGAAAAAAAGATGCAAAAAATGTTATGCCAACTACTTTCAATGGAAAGTATAGCTAAAGACCTTTAGTCACTGCAAAATGTTGCTAGACGTCAAACCGGTGAGTTTCTAGGTGCAACCTAGATAAGGTTTATCAAAGAAGTCATTAGATTTGTTTTGTTTTTTTGCTAAAGGGGTCTGAAATGTCCCTAACAATGGCAAACAATGACCATCGCTGCTTTTGTGACTCTCTTTCATACAAGTGCCTCAATTATGGATTAATAGGTTGTTTGCAATCACGTGATTCTGATGACGCACGAAATGCAGCTGGAGGGCAGGAAGTGATTTTTCTATATAGGAATCACTAGCAGAAACTCTAAATGCCTATGTTTTGCATTGTTTATGGATGCTCAAATTGGTCAAACCAGGAAGAGGCAAGAAATTTACTGAAAAACGCAGGAAAACGTAGCTTTTAAGCCTGCATCTGATTAGGAGGAGCCGAGTCGGATAATGCTTGTGTGTGCAAATTACAGCAATGACGTCATGTGCAAACAACCTATTGACCCTTCACAAAGAGCTTGATTGACAGGCGATCTGACCAATCATAACGCTGAATCCACCATTTTGTCTGACAAACAAATCAGACAGATTATAGATTAACTTTGGTGGACTTGAACTTGAAAAATGGTGTGTATTGACGTCTTTACGTGGTAGAAATAAAATACCTTCTGATGTTCATTCATGTTTATTTCGTGATTTAAGTAAATTTAAGAATTTGAAAGTTGAGACTTTGTTTCATACCAGAAGTAACCTGCTCTGTCTTGTCTGTCAGCATGTTGTCAGTTTCCTCTTTGCTCCGCGATGTATTTTTCACTGTGTGAGAACATGATGTGTGGCGTGAAAGTGCCATGTCGGACGTAACATCAGTAACAACAGTTTTTGCGAATGGTCAATTGGACTCAAAAATTGCTTTTTTTGTGATAAAATATATAGGACTATAGGTAAAACTGGAATTATGTATTTACCTACATATTTACCTACATATATATATATATATATATATATATATACAGTGGGTACGGAAAGTATTCAGACCCCCTTAAATTTTTCACTCTTTGTTATATTGCAGCCATTTGCTAAAATCATTTAAGTTAATTTTTTTTCCTCATTAATGTACACACAGCACCCCATATTGACAGAAAAACACAGAATTGTTGACATCTTTGCAGATTTATTAAAAAAGAAAAACTGAAACATCACATGGTCCTAAGTATTCAGACCCGTTGCTCAGTATTTAGTAGAAGCACCCTTCGGAAGATTTTAGCATGGTGATGGATATGACAATGTTAATGTATTTGGTCTTGGTGGAATAGATCTGCTACGCTGCTGCTGCTGTTGGTTATTGCTGTAATCAGCAACTTTTGATTTTTAATTTTTTTCTTATTTACAAAAAAATAACCCCCCATTAAAGCTGGAGAAGAAAACAAAACAACTAAATATGTATGCTGCTGCTATATAATAATATGCTTAAAATCATCCCTATAAGGCAGAAGAATTATAAAAGATAAAACCCCCCAGAACAAGTAGATCTATTGCCAAGACATATGTACTGCTGCTGCTCTAGAGAGCCGTGAGACCGTGTGTTTGCTATCAATGTGTGAGCCTGGGCCGGCTTTGCCGAATGGCTTAACGCTAGTGAACTATTGCTGTGTGTACCTGATCGGTTGACCAGATAGCTTAAACTAGTGACCTGAGGTTAAACGTGTTTCTGGGCTAATGGAGCCCAGATAAATTAACTAGTGGCTTAGTAATGTGAACCTGGGTGCTGTACCCTTAGGTTTATTTAACTAATGACCTGAATAACTATGTGTGTCTCTGAGCCAATAGCTCAAACTTACCTAGGTTGAAACACATCCTATGTGTGCCATTAACAAACAGGAATCACACTGCAGGCTGATAGATGAAGTAACCCCCAGCAACCACCTGCACGGGCGGCCTGAGCAAATAGTTTTAAATTTGTCATTCAAGAGTTGTAATTTTTTTTTCCATTAACGTTCATTAACATTACTGCAATGTAAATACTTACCTTTAACTTATTAATAAGCTAACAAAATATTTGGCGAAAGAATAAATCACTGCACACCCTGTAGTTGTAGTGTCATATGCCCAGGACTAATTCTGCCTCAAAAGCAGCTGCTCAATTATTTTGATAATTTAAAATATTTATATTGCATATTAAGAATAATAATGTTTGCATTGTATGAACACATCATTAGCTAAATGCATGGCTCATTCCAAGATGGTCTTGAGCAAGACACTACAGTGACTTTATTTAAATGCAGTTGTCTGCTTTTATATTAATTGTGTCCAAATTAAAATTCGCAACAGAAATGCTGTGCATGCTGCTGCTGAGAAAAATCTTGATGACTGAATGCCTATGCAAGCTGCTTCTACTGCACAGAGAGACTGAACTGCTGTGAGTTCCATTAATTAGGTATATAAGTAGCTAGGCGAATGACCATTTTACTCTCTATTTTAACACGTAACAACTTGTATGTTTTCTAGTTTAAAAATTTTAATCTGACGAACGCAATAATGCACTGAAATCAGAGTGAAGACTGTTTACTTATCTAGCGCGCTGCAAAAATCTCAAGTGAATGCTAGCCAGCCATATAAATACAAGTAAAATGGCAGTAAGCTCATTGGCTGCATATGCAACATGAACCAATCAGCTTGGGCCAAGTTGTTTAACTCTCTGAATATCATCAGTTACGTTAACAACCCATCAGCCTGCACCATGACTGAACTATACATATATATAGTACATCCACATTTTGAATTATTTGTTAGCCGCTAGCAAAGTACAGTAAGCCATGTTTAGTCCCTCATTTATCACATCAATGAAGCTCGAATTTCAAACCTTGAGAGAGAATCTTCTTAAGCTCTCTTTGAATGAATATCGAAAACTTTACCATATCACAAGTGGCATCTTTCGTTTAAGTTAAAATCAATTTGCATCAGTGCATGTTAGCATTGGTACACACATGAAAGCCAGCAAATGAGTCTCTGTGGTGGCAGATGCTAATCTTGGCCTCCTTTACCACAGAAATGTAGTAAAACTGGCAGCAGTGCCATGCTCATGAGCGTACAAAACTTCCATTAAAAATAAGTGAAGATTGGACATGCTCACTATGTTTGCAATCTACTGCATGAGTTTGCAAAGAGTAAAAAAAAAACTTTGTGGGGAAATGGGATCATTTAGCCATGGATAAAGAATGTTTTGCTGATATTTCAAGTCAAGTCTTTAAAATGCACGATTTTTCCCCTCTAGTGGTATAAAATGACTCATGGTTCAGAACTGGAGGCTAATTACATTTGCGTTTGAGTTATGTATTCTTTATGTGTCGTGACTTTCTGAGTACAACAATGAATTCCAAATTAAGCAAAGTGGGAAATCCATAAATCAGGCAGTTAGCCTGTACAAAATCAACACTAAAGAACTGCGGTACTGCGACATGCAGTATTTTATCATTTGTTTAAACATCGCTGCATATTTAAATGAAATCCACCTCTTTTCTATGCAAATTATGCTCATTATAGAATGTTTTCCAAATATTTTGGATTTTGTGAACACATTTGCATCTTTACCTGGTTTATGAATTGCACTGGGAGCTAAAACAATCTAAACAGTGAATTCCTCCCATGATATTTCATTATTGTGCTGAAAATCCAATGAAAGTTTTGTGCTGTTAGTGAAAAGTGTCTCTTCTTTTTTTGTTCTCCTTATGTCCTTCATGAATAAGTAGGACACAGGTGAATCTCTTACACGTTTCAGATCAGTGTTTACATTTTTATGATAAAGGTTAAAATTTGGATAGAAGAGAGTAAATCCTCATGGGATCCTCAGTTTGCTGGAAAAAAAAAATACCGTAAAAAGTTCATGATGAAGAATGCGGTGACATATGTACCTCTCTTTTCTGTCAAACAGCATCCAGTTTTACATATTATGTCAGTAGAATAGTGACAAAGAAGGTCAGGTCTACTTATAGGCTGATTTTTATTAGGAATCGGGGAGTATCACTGGTCTACAAACACACAAAGGCGGAAAGACTATCCTTGTACATTATACTGTTTTTAGCTGAAGTAATGTATAGAAAGCCTCACGGTGGCCCAGTTAGAGGAAAAATAGGTCACAGTGGGTGCAAGAATCATTATATTTTGTATTCAAGTTAGAGGTGAAAGTGAAATAACCTTAAACATGTTGTCCTTGCATTTGGCTTTTAAAATAGGTTATCAGTTCAAGGGTGTATAGAGGTGGTTGTAATGAATACTGGACATGAGACACAAGTAGGTTAGGCAGGTCTGCTAATAGCGGGAGCAGCAGGCTGAATGTTGGACAGTGTTTTTCAGTTCAGTCAAGTCAGGAGATTTTCTGAGACAATTACTTTTTGGCCTTATCTTAGAGTTCACATTATAATTCATTATTAAATCCACTGGATTCATTCCAGTTGGATGCACTTAAATGAGTTCCAACGTTACACTGATACTCAGAACTATCCTTCTTCACATATTTTAACGGATTAATTCACTCAAAAATTAAAATTCTTTCATCACTTGACCCTCATGTCATACCAAACCTGAATGACTTTCCTTCCTCTGTGGAACAGATGTTAGGGGAAAAAAATTCAGCTGCTTTCTTTTATATCATCTAAGTGGATGGGGACCAGACACTGAACAAACATCACAATGAAAGCATGATAAATGTAAAATACCGTTCAACTACCACAAGTGTTTTTTTTTTTTTTTAGGCTTTTCATTTTTATTTTTTTATTTTAGGGTTTATTTTATTCAGTGACAGTAAATACATTTATAATGTTACAAAAGATTTCTAATTCAAATAAAAACGGTTACTTTAAAAATTCTAATAATTTTAAAATGTAATTTATTCCTGTGATGCAAAGCTGAATTGTCAGCATCATTACTCCAGTCTTTAATGTTACACGATTCTTCAGAAATCATTCTAATATACTGATTTGCTGCTCCAGAAACATTTCTTCTTATTATCAATGTTGAAAACAGTTGTGATGCCTAATAGTTTTGTGTGATACATTTTTTTAGGATTCTTTGATGAATAGAAAGTTCAAAAGATAAGTTATTTATTTGAAATAGAAATATTTTGTAACATGTAACAATGTTCTTACAAATTTTTATTTTTTTATTTTACATTGTCACTATAGTTAATCTGCTCTAAATATGTCTTTGTATTTCTGTCCACATTATACTTTAGTTATCAGTGGGCGAAAAAAATAAAAAATTCCAGCGAAAAGTTACTGGTGTCAGAGCCAGTACTCAGCTGACGTCAAGTCCTTTACAGAGCCAAACTTTCCTGCACAGAATCACCTTTTCTTCAGTGGAGAGGTGTGAAACGGTGCCAGGTTAAACACCAGTTACTCAGTGGAAAAGGGGTAAGAGTGCCTCTTTATCTCTGCTGGTTATGTCCCCACATCCAGCTTATGCTGTTCTCCGTCTGAAAGCTTCTGGCACTTTCACAAGAGCTTTCAATCAGCTTTGTTCAGTAGTGTCTCTTGGTTGACACACCATGCTGGGCGTGTACATTTGTCATTCAGGAAGAATACCTGAGAGTGTTCGGGGCCAGACAGCTTTTAGATGCCAGCCAATGTTAAGCAGAAAGCCAAGGAACTATGACTAAAGTGAAAAAGTGACGTGACATGTGGCCAAGTATGGTGACCCATACTTGGAATTAGTGCTCTGCATTTAACCCATCCAAAGTGCACACACACAGCAGTGAACACACACACACCATGAACACACACCCGGAGCAGTGGGCAGCCATTTTTGCTGCGGCGCCCAGGGAGCAGTTGGGGGTTTAGTGCCTTGCTCAAGGGCACTTCAGTCGTGGTATTGAAGGTGGGAGAGAGCGCTGTACATTCACTCCCCCCACCTACAATTCCTGCCGGACCTGAGACTCGAACCCGCAACCTTTGGGTTAACCATTAGGCCACGACTTTCCTCACAACTTTTTTAAAAGTCTGTCTGAAAAGACATTTGAGCAGATTGCATATGGGCAGTTAGAGAACACTAGCCATAGAATTAAGGCTCAGCTCTATTTGTAATGCTTTCTTTGCAGGAGCATGAAGATTAGAAAAACAGTGAGCACTGTGCTGTGCACATGCTGTGACAAACTGTGACAGAAACTGCCCTGAATGTACAGTTACAGTCAACGTAATACATGCTGCACTGATGAAGACTACAAAACTCCTAAATAAATAAAAACCCACATACATGTGATGAGGCTAAGGCAAATTTTAAAAAATATATAGTACACCATTTTCAACTAGATTGTGAAATTGATCTTGGTTAATAGTTTTCCATTCAATTTTCCATTCATTTTCATAAAATGTGATTTTAAAAACTTTAATAAAAAGTTCTGAGCTGCGAATCAAACCAGTCAGCTCCAAGGAGATTAAAACATGTTACAATATTAGGGATTTACAATCTACAGTTACATACAATATATTTCAAGTGAGCCCTTTGGCTTTATCGTGTCCACTGACTATTTTTATGAAATGTTTGATATATAGCATCTGCTGCTTGCAATATGCTTCCCACCAGCATTAAGCAAACAAGAAGTACATAAAACTTTTTTATTTGAATATAAGATAACGTATAGAAAGGTTTATTTTTAGTTTTATCTATATTATTTTCTTTCACTTTTTCATGCTATGGTTTTTCTGTTTTGATGTTTGACAGTTTAATTACTCTTCTTTTTATTCCCTCCCCCCATGTTTTCTATGGTAATTCATAATGTTCACTATATGAGAGTGGAAACAGCTTTATCCTGTTTTTTGTTACAACATACATAGTTATTTTTCATTTTTAACAATACTAGCTAATACTTTGAGAAAGCTAAATTTAATGTAAGCATTTACTGCAGAGTATTTATTACAGTCAGACAAGTGTTATGCTCTGTTACTGGCATACAAATAATTATTTGTAAATATATAT